ATTTATAACAGTTAATTTAATTAATTAATTTATTTTAATTTATCTTCTATTCATAACAAATTTGCTTTTTAGAATACGTAATCTTTTTGAAACAGAGTATATACCAACTATTATATCTAATAACAATATACGTACTAACAATACTATAGGATTAATTATACGATCAATTCTGGATGCAGATTTGAAGAGGATGATGAAGGCTTTGATGAAGTTGAATGCTATATCTCAGAGAAACCTGCAAATAAAGAAATAGATTTGATGGCATAGTAGAAGGTAATAATAGTAATATATAGATTTTTGATAACAAGATAGCCCTTCAGAACTATATAAACATAGTCCCAAAAGGCTATTTAGTAGCAAAATTCTATATATTCTACTAATAATATATTAAATATTTAAGGTAATAATAGTAATATATGGGATTTTTGCTAACAAAATGACCCTTCAGGACTATATGAAATATAGTTCTGAAGAGCTATTTTGTAAGCAAAAATTACATATATTCTGTTTATTAAATATTACTATGTATTTAGGCATACCAAACACAATTTTTTTGCCTTGCATGTATGGCTAGAGACTACTTGGCTATCTTAGCATCTTCTGTTATTTCTGAACGTAACTTTTCCTCAGGCAAAAATATGATTATAAACAAGAGGTCTAGTTTAGTATCTAAAACTATAAGAGCAGTACAATGCTTTAAGTTATGGATGCAAGGGCTATTGAAAGAAAAGTTAGGAATTTGTAACAAGGTTCAACTTTAAAAACTGTAATATTTTTTATCTAATAAATAATATATAAAGTCCATCTACTATTTGAGTATTGTCTTGAAAAAGACTTTAAGAATATAGTGATTACTATAGTAATTATCATATTCTGTAAAGATCTTTTTCAAGACAAAAATTTATATGTTTGTTTGCATATTATGTTATTTATAGTTCTACTATTTACTTTCATTTGCCATTTTATGAATTAAAGTTTACTGTATTACTGGTATATTGTTAATGATCCTAAGATAAAATAAAATAAATAATAAAATTATAGATACTGTAATAATAAATAATTAAATTATTAATATATATATATAAAATATAAAAAAATATATAAAAAAATATAAAAAAAATATAAAAAAATATATATATAAATTAAAACCTATTTGAGATCAACTTTAGTTAACTACTTGGCTAAGTTTAGTTAACTAATTAGTCAACTAAACTTAGTAAAATAGTTATCTAACTATTATTACTAAGTTTAGTTAACTAATTAGTTAACTAAACTTAGTAAAATATTTAGTTAACTAGAAATCCTATCAAACTTGAACATGTTCATAAGCTTTCGGACCGAACTCAAACTAAACTGAACACAATAAAAAAAATTGGACCTGAACCTGAACCTGAACATATTTTCAATCTTTGTTTGAGTTCAGGTTTAGTTCGATTTTTAGACTGAACTTGAACTTGATAGAAGTTCAGTTCAGTTCAGTTCAGTAGGAGTACTAGATATTGATCTGTTTTTTACAAAGCCTTGTTGTTATAGAGAGATTACTTCTTAGTATATTGTATTTAGTCTGTTTGCTAAAATTTGTATAAAAATTTTAGCATCGCTATTTACTAAAGAAATTAGTTTCTAATTGTTTAGATTTTCTAAAATATAATTAAATTTTTACACTAGGATTTAGACAAAAGTTCTGAAAGTAGTATTTGATTAAAAAGATTATGTAGTAGAAGTGTGATCACTTTCTCTGTAAGCTTATAGAACTTATAAGTAAAACTATTAGAACTAGGTGATTTGTTATTCAGAAGGCTTCTGATCATATTTCTTATTTCTTCAAAAGAGATTTCTTGTATTAGTAAGGAGTTTTGTAGTCCTGTAACTTGTAGAGTTTTTTTAATAATTTCATTAATAGCAACCAAATTAATCTCTTCTTTTTTGTAGATTTTTGAGTATTTTTCTCTTATATAAGAAAGAATACTATTCTTGTTCTGAGCTGTATTCAAAAGATCTTTAATTTCACTAAGAGCTAAGTGAGATTTTCTAGATTTATATTTTGAAAAAAAATATTTTGTCAATTTTTCTCCTTGCTCTATTCATTTTGTTTTAGAGTGAAGTTACCATTTTTCTGCTAAAAGAATTAGTTTTTCTTGTAGTTTAGAGTTAAGATTGTCTGCTTGAGCAAAAAGATATTTATTCATAGAATTTTCAACAAGTTTTTTATTTATCTGAGTGATTTGTTTGTTAAGTATTGATATTTTACTTTCTGGAGGTTTTAGTTTTTTGAAAGCCTTGATAATTGATTGGATGCATATTTTGTATAAATCCTAATTATTTGCATTCTCATTTTCTTGTTTTTCTTCTATTATTTCTTTTTTTAGTTTTTTGTTATAGAAGTAGTTTTTATCAAATTTCTACAAAAGTGACTTGTTTATACTTGATATAAACTTTAACATACATTCTACAAGAAAGTAGTCAGAGTTGCTATATTTAGTATTAGTTTATTAAATAGAGTAAGCATAGTTTTCGTCTATAAAAATATAGTCTAAGTAAGTTGTTATCATTTTATTTTCTCTTGTTTTCTGAAAAAAGGTATGGAATAGTTTGTTAGTTGCAAACTCTGAGAAGTTGATAAAGTTTTTTATAAGATTTTTAAGCAAAGCTTTTGTTAGATCATTCTGTAGTAAAGATTCACTAATTCTATCATATTCAGAATATATGTTGGTATTAAAGTTCTCTGTAATGATATTTATCATGTTTTCTTTTATTTGAGAGGACTAGTTGCTAAAAAAAATTGATTATTCACTTTGACTAGAAGGTGCATAGATATTTGTGAGCTAGAAAGTTAAATCTTTATAGCTAAAGTTTGTGATTATAATTCTGCTATTTGCTTCTATTTTAGAGTTTTAGAAGGTTATATTTTTGTTGCCTGCTAATATAGCTATTTTGTTTGACCATATTGAGTCAAAAGTCTATTGTTGTTGTAAAAAAGTTTGTGTATCTTTGTTGTTGAGATTTGTCTCTTAAAGTATTATAATATCTAAATTATAAAATTTAAGTAGTGTAAAAGTATTTCTTTGTTTTTGTTGATTGTTCAGTTCATTAACATTAAGAGTTCTAATTTTTATCTTTAAGTTTTTAAGCATAAGTGTTAATTTGAGGTAGGATTCTAGATCTGTATGTTTTGGCTCTCATTACAAGTTTTTTCTTATAAGGAGCAGTCCTCATTTCTTCTTGTTTTTGTGTAGCTACTTTTTTTTTGTCTTTTTTTCTTTTGTTTGTAGTGATTATATATTCACCTTCTGAATGATCAAATTCTTGTAGTTCCTAATTATTATTGTTTCAATAATAACTATAGGAGAGGTTACTTTAGGGCTTCTAGGTTCAGTTCAGGTTGTTTAGGTTTTGTCAAACTTCTGAACTCAAACTGAACTCGAACTATAACATTTGTGCAATTCTGAACCTGAACTCAAACCTGAACAGTTGAAGTCTAAATCCAAACCAGACTCAAATATGAAGTTATATTCAGTTTGAGTTCAGTTCGAAGTTCATGAACTTATTCGAGTTCAAATAGGTTTTTTTTTTTTTTTTTTTTTATTTATTTATTTATTTATTTAAAATTTATTTAATTTATTAATATTTTTTTTATTAATTTATTTTTTATAAATCTAACCCATAAACTTTGCTTGTATGACAGATTATGCATAGTCTAATACTAATTTAAAAGTCTATTGTAGCATATATATAAGGTAAGATTATTAACTATGATGATACAAAAATTATTACTATGATGATACAAAAATTATTTTTAAAATAAAAATGAGTTCTTTGTCCATGTGTTTGGAGGAATTTAATAATGACCAATATAATAACCACGATAATGACTATGATAATAACTAAAATAATGACTACAATAATGACTACGATAATGACTATGATAATGACTACGATAATGACCATGATAATGATAATGATAATGATCAAGATGATGATCATAATAATGATAATGATAATATTAGTACTATTAGCAAGTGAAGTAATGTTAGTGAGATGTGAGATTTTTTTAAAAAACTTGAATGGAAAAAAGAATGAAAAACAGCCAAATGTATGATATCAAAGTGTCAACACAAGGAGTTTTCTTGTAGGAAGGGGGGAATAACTAAACCCTTGTAGTACTATTTGGAGAGTTCTCACCAGATACAGTATGCCAAAACAGCAGAATATCAAAAAAAATACAAGATGAATATAGTAACATTGAGAAAGCATTCAGAAGGATGAGTTTAGGGTTCTGAAAGTATCAGACATAATACTATTAAACATAGTGCCTGTGCTTGGCACAAGCATTATGTTTAATAGTATCATGTCCTAGAACTTCTAGAACCATAATAATTTAAATTTCTTACTTAATTCTCAAATATGAACTAAGGCGATACAAATAAAATTAACTGATTTTCATATCCAGCTGGGTCCGAAAATTGAAAAGTTCTAAATTTTTTTTTATGCCACAGCAAGTAGATGGCTAATCAAATCACATCATTTCATAACATATGAAATTAGTAAAATTAAACTTTAATTTTAACGAAAGTAACAACTTTAGCAAAAGCTTGCATAACTGATTTATTTATGTATAACTGATTTATTTATAAAGATATTAATAAAAATAAAAGCCTATAAGTAATTTATATATTACCTGGTTCTGCGCTGTTTCTCTTTTTTATTAGCACTTGGACTCCATTTATACTGTTTTTTTGGTAATGCCTTTCCACTGCACTCAATACACAATAGCCGTTCATTATTTGATGTTTTTGTTACATTTCTAAAAAATACACTACAGGAAATATTCCAGCTGAATAGTAAGGCTTTTCGATTGGTGAAGCACAACTCTACGAATCATTTATGAAGACTTGCTAGAAAAGCTTATAGATAGGATCTTCTGTAGAAATTTCTTTTGATCTAACATTAGATATTTCTCCATTAATATCCTCATCCTCCTCTTTATTAATATCCTCTTCATCCTCTTCATTAATATCCTTTTCATCCTCTTCATTAATATCCTCTTCATCCTCTTCATTAATCTCCTCCTCATTATTTAGGTCCTCTTCATTACTAACTATGTAAGGGCAATTAGATCTAGCAATTATATCGTTAGTAGCAGTATCATTGCTTAGTAGGTTATCATATAATTGGTCATCATTTTGTCAATCATCACTTGGTTGGTTGTTATTTAGGCTGTTATTCTGGTGATCATTACTTTCATTACTTTCAGCAAGATTGATTGATTTGGTAGAAGCGAGATCACAAGTATTATGAAATGACATTCTGCATGTGTATAAAATAGTATCAAGAAAAGATTCTAACAACTTGTGTTTTTTTAATTGTAATTTTTTTGCGCTAAATAACAGACGTAGTTTCTCATATTCAGCACAAACAACAATGATTCTAACATTTTTTGCACATATAGAAGAGGAGCTGAATAGCATGGTATGTTTCATAGTAGCTTTTGTTTTACCTAGTATTGTTAGTCAAAATTATATTGACATTTAGACAAGTTGAATATAGACAATTTTGACATTGTTATTTATAAAAATTATTATTAAAAAATAAATGGAATTTAATTTAGATATTAAGACATTTAGACAAATTTCAACATTAACAAAAAAATTTTAATTAATATTAGCATTACCTGACTTGATAGTTCGTAATTTAGCATCTTTAAGTGAGAGCCTATATTCCTCTGTTGTAGTAGTGTTATATAATTTTTCGAATGATTTATAATAAAGGTCTTCGCCAGGAGTTGGAACGTTCAAATTTCTCCCGAGAACACTGAAGTGGTAAGCAAGTTGTATATGTTTCATTTCATGAATTCTTTCAACTGTAGCTACAAAAAGGCAAATATTAATATTATTCATATTATGTGCTGTGGCTGATGATGAAAATTAGGATTTCTATATGATCATATAACCATACTAAAACCCTATATATAAGTATTGCCAAAGGAAACCTGTTATTGAGGTTTCAAGTTTATTACTTACCAGACTCATTTTGTTTGATTTTTTAAAGATTGTGTCTAGTAACTTATAAATATAAAAGTCTAATAGCAGGTTTTCCTTGGCAGCACACATTTATATAACAAGAAAAAAAAAAAAAAAAAAAAAAAAAAGAGAAAATGAAAATTATTTCAATTTTCAACATCAGTTAACTTTATTATTAACCACTACATTATGTTAATTATACATAAAAAGCATTTTATTTACTCTTTTTGTAATACTTTCTGTTAAATGATCTTGTTGAGATACATTATCGTCAATTAGGTAAATTGTTTCCCATAATTCTATTATTTCATTTTCAGTTGCTGCATCAAAGGTTTCAAAAGGTACTTCCTTTAAGGATTGATGTTCAAAAATGCTACAGATTAGGTAAATTGGTTGTTGGATACTTTCGATAAAGGCATCTTTCAAGGTAGGATTATTTTCTGCCAAATATCGAATTGCTTTCATTGTATTTGCTTTACTGATTAATTTTTCTAAATTATCACTCATTTTACCTCTCATTAAACCAATACATTGAAGCCTAAGATTTAAGATAGATATTATGCGTTCTACTGGATTTTTCCAAGAGTGTTGAGGTGGTGTTCTTACAGCAACGAAATAGTCTAGATCTAAAGCTAGAAATAAGCAAATATATAACAGTTACACACTAATAAATATACAATAATAGTTTGAGCTACCATCTGTATAAAGACATAAGACAGGTTTATTGGTAATATTTTTTTTTATAAGGATATTGTATAATTCAACTACATGGCATATTGGTGAGGAAGGTTGAAAAATAGCATCTTTTAATCTAATATGAACGTCTCCTGCATAAAAATCACTATCAACTGACTTCAGAATATCATATATCATTATAACACTTGGTATTATTCCAGACTTTGTATAGTCATGATCTCTAACCATCAATGTTGATTCTTTACTAACTACAACTTGCTTACCTCTCTCTATAGCAGCAACTGGATACCTGGGTTCTCCAACTTTACATCTATGTTTGTTATCTAAAAATACTAATGTTGTAATTTCATGAAATTTTGTAGCAAATTTCTTTTTATACCTAAATAATGCTGAAGCATAATGTGCATCAGAATAATAGACACGAAGCTGCCGAACTTGTATCTAGTGTTACAAATTATCAAAAAATTTTCAAATGATTAATTGTTAGCAATTAATTGATTGAACTGTGTCTAGGTCGAAATCCTTTTAGGATTTTGACCTAGGCCTGATTGAACTTTTAGATACCAACTAATCGATTAATTAAAATCAATTAGTTGGTATCTAAAAGTTCAATTAATAGGTAATACTGCTTGTACTATAAATTTTAAAGGTAGACGTCTAGTATATTGCAAACTATTAAGTCGTGTTGGGTTTTTAGACCATAATTGTAAATGAAGCCATTGTATACTTGGAATTAGTGTATTTTGGAAACATTTATTCTTGATTTGATTTAATAAATCATTAATTGAAATTGCTGTTGCTAAGTGGATAATTGTGTCATGTCAATGTTCATCGACTACAGTTACAAATTCCACTACTTTTTTTGAAAGAAAGTTAGCCACAATTTCCCAAAAAACATCAAATTTACTTGGTCTCCCAGGATTGTGCTCACGTAAATTAATTGTAACTTCAAGATCACCTAATTCAAGAGCTAGTCTAATTCTTTCATCTATTTTGGCTTCATTTACAAATTCTGATGCCGAAGAATCCCTAGTTAACATACGATAAATAGTACGAAGTACTGCAGGTTTAACTTTTAGTAAAAGTAAGTCACAAGTACGAAAATAACTTTTTCTCATTGTACAGGTGTGATAATGAAGAGAATAGGCTTGAAGTTTATTAACTATATTAGTGTTTTGTTGCATCATCTTGGTTTCATCAGCACTTTCATCGATCTTTCAAATTGAAACTGCATTATATATATTATTTCCAGAGTTAAATTGAAATTCACTAAGTTTAAAGGTAAATGCTCGAGATAATCCCTATATATAATACATTCTTGAACTAAAAGAGTTATAAGATTAATTATTTATCCTAACAGATGCTGAAATTAGCAGATGTTGAAATTTAGGATCTCTTTGAAAATATAATCTTTCTAAACCCACACATGGAGAATAGTCTAGAAAAATTAAAGTTTGAAAATGTTAAATAGTAGTTTTTCTAGTCTATTTCCATATACCTACTGTATACTTGCTGACAAAACCTCTAGAGTTTAGAACTTGGGATTTTGGAACAATTTTTATTATGTTTATGATTTTTTATTTTAGTTTGGTTAGCAAGTATACATATACCCTTTTATTAACAACTCTAGCACTCAATTCTAACCTAACATATATATGATAGTGCTATATTAATTATTAACAATTATCATTTTTAGTTTTATACTTACACAGGATCTGTTGGTAGATAGTTTTCAATATCAATTAGTATCCAGAGAAGTAAATTCTTGAGTATATTTTCTAATCGATTATATTTGATTTTGTCATTTGGTATTATGTAGGTATTGGCTTTGTGAATTTTAATTGTTATAGCCTGTTCTATGCTTCGAACTGAGGTTATTAATATATGGTTTTTTGTTGTAATTTTATTTTGCTATTTTAGAAAGCTAACATAATTTAAAATGACAGTAATCAAGATATTATAGGGCTCACAAAGCCAATCAAATTATGGTTTTAGTATCTACTGTGATGTAGAGTGTGATGCGAGTGCTTGATAATGAAGATTTAATTCTATTGCGTTAAAAGGTTTCTAAGATTCCTTATATGATTCTGAGTTAGTGTAGTCAAAAAACCTGTAAATAGCTCTGGAATATAATAGCAACGTTCCTTAAGTTTTAAGTGATCATGCATATCAATATACCAAATTGCATCATATAAACAACTAATGAATTTTTTTCCTTATGCATTAGCATTCTCAATTGAAGACCACCCCTTGCCGTTTTGATGAATTCATTCGATTATATCATTATATAACTCTTGTTTATTGTTTAATCTTTTATATTGCAAGGGGCTTGACAAAAAAAATTTTTTTTGAGTTTGCATAAGAATTTCTAATGCATTTTGATACGGTGCTAAATGAAAGGTTATAATGTCACTAGTTTTAAAATGATTGTGTATATTTAAACCAAATACTTTAGTTGACTTTATTATTTTACAATGAGGACTAGCTTGAATGGTTGTTGCACCTGTATCTAACGTTTGGCTTAATTCAATATGATCAATTGTTTCAGAGGAGCCTACGGAAATATTGCACTTTGGAGATATTTCACCTATAATGAGTTTATCAAAAAACTCTTTAATGGTCATTTCATATAGTATTGGATATGCATACCAGCTATGAAGTGTTTTTGACCCTTTTGAAATATGGATATTTGCGATTAGCATTTTTTATTAAGTACAACTTTGTAAGTGTGTTATAATTAAACTGACCTTTTTATTTATATATTTATTTTCTTTACAGGTATATACATTTTATTGTTTACTGTAAAACTCAAAATAACATGTATGAGCATTATTTGATAGTATATAATCATACACAAAGAAAAAAAAAAGTGTGAATCTTGACTTGCAAATAACATTTTCTGGTTTTAGATAAGCATTACAGATTTGATAATCATTTTTTTTTCTCTTCAAAGTTTGGTTATTGCATTTTTGTTGTATTAAAAATTTATTGATTAAACTCTAAGGCTAAATGCAAAAAGTGAAGTCCAAAACATTAGTAGATCTAATTCTAAAAAAAAAAAACGTATAATTTTTTTATTGTGTTTTTTTTAAGAATGTTAAGGCTATAGAATTTTCAATATGCATTAAATATTAGCAATTTTCTCATTGAAGTTTTATATAAAAATTTTATACAAGTTACCATATTCTCTAGAACTAATAAGCAAATTTAATACAAATTAAAATTATGATCTAAAAAATTAAGTAGTTGATCACCAACTCTAAAGACAGATATTTATGATAGCTACCAGGACAAAAATTTAAAGTTAGATCGACGTACACTCTTTCCTGAACACATAAGTTCTGGGATAGAGTAAATAACTTTTATCAAAATACCTACCAACAACAGAAAAGAAAAGACTAAAGAACTTATCGAGACAAGGGCTTCTGCCCTTGCTTCAAGGAAAAGACGCTTCAAAGAATATCTAGTAACAAAAAATATTAAAAAACAAAAAAAAATGTCTTCTCTAACTAACGAAAAAAATTTTAAAGAAAATAAAGAAAATATGCAAAACTCAGAACTTAACAAAGAAGTCGAGACTAC